GAGGGCTCTTCACCATTATATTTGTCCAAGACACCTTTCTTTGATTACAGAGATCTTTAAAGAACACAGGCAGAGGAAGAGGAAGAGGGCGGTGGCGAAGAAGAAGGCAGCCTCTCAAGCAAGGCACAATCTGTTTTAATTGCTTTGGACACAACACAAATCCAACTGAATCAGTTTATTATCAAGGACCATTTCTGTTGCCAAGTGAAGGTATAAAACAACATCAGTTTCCATAAAGGTGAAAAATCCTTTACAAGGGTTGGCAACAGAAGAGCCCCAAATCAAAGCTTACAACCAAGAACCCTGTGCTGCATAATGATCTATCCTGTTGTTAAATGGCCCTGCAGTAGGAATGGAGGATTACATCAGTACATTTTTATATTCATTCATTCATTCATTCACACTGCCCCATTCCTGTAGGCTCTGGATGGTTTACAATGATTTTAAACCAACAATTCTAATTTAGATTAAGAACGAGCATATTAAATAAAATGAATCTGGGAAGGCCTGTCCGAAGAGAGCCTGGGATACCTCAGCCCCTCTCCTGACAGGCCATCCCACAGTTTAGGGGCAGCTGCTGAGAGAACCCTCTAGATACCTGTGTGTACTTTCCAGTGTGTGCTATACCTGCCGTCCCTTTCTTGGGGGCAGGGCGGGAGCTCTGGTGGGCTTTTTTGCAGCTATGCAAAAAAGGATCCTGTGCACTGACAAAGCGGCAGCGGAGGCAGCTCTTAGACAGAGAAGCCCAGTTTCCTGCAGCGCTGCACCCCACTGGCTCGCTCTCTCTGGTTTTCCTGTGAATGGGAGAACAGTGCAGCCCTGCTCCCGCTTCCTCTTGGCTCCTCAGTAAGGAAGAAGAACCTGTCTGCTCAGGAGTGAGGCACCGTGCGGGCACGGGCGCAAGGCTGCACCCACCTTTAAGAGCTGCTTTTGGGTAAAGGGCGGGAGAGCTCCTGACCCCACCAGCTTCACCTCACGGGCACGGGGGGGGGGGGGCAGCAGCAAGTGGCACCACCAGCCCTTCCCTTCTCCCCACATCCCTTTCTCCTCCACCATTTTTTCTGAGGGGGGAGGGTGAAAGGGCATAAAGCACTGTCAACTCCCTTTTAACATTGCTGCCAATTCACCTTTTCACACGTGTGCATAGCTTAATGTAGGAAGGAAAAAATATAAAGGGCATTTGCCTGTACACCATCCCTTTCCCAACTCCTCCTGCTCCTCGCACGGTTGCATTTGTGTGTGACAGAGGATCCCATTTTCAGCACAGTGGAAACTGTGCTATATGTGTTATGTATGAATACAGCAATTTTGCTCCCTGATAAACGAAAGGTGTAGATCCTGTTGCAGTTCATATGCTACCCATGGATCTTTTATGGCAGTTCTGGGTGATGTCTCCTAATTTCTGAAGTTGGTACTCTGGACTACTGAGGGGAAACCAAGCCAGGATGTTAACTCATGGTTTGTTGTTGGGTTAAGTGGGGTGTTGGCTCGTGGGCTGCATTATGAAGCAGAAAGCAGGAGGCAGGAAGCTCGCTTGCTCGCTCCTGCAGAGTCATAACTACCCTTGGCTAAAGCAACTCATGGATATTTGTGATGTGTGAACAGGGCTGGTGGCCAGTACTTTGCCAGTTCTGGTGTCCAAGTCTAATTTTTGCAATAGTGTTGGAGCAATCAATTCAATATATAGGAGGAAATGCATAAAAATTTGAACAGTGACCTTCAATTACTAAATTAATAGGCTAAGGCATTACTTAATTAATTGGTAAAAGCCAATTTTAATCTGTGAGGGCAAATTTAAAACAGTTGCCTTGTCATCTTTTCAAATTATTTTGGTTCTGCTGTGTTAACATAATAGATAATTAGAAAAGTTTTGCAGTTAAATTTGGTAAGTTGTAAATGACCTCATACTTCCTTTAATGTCTCAAAAAAGCACCTATATTGAAAAGTTAATAATATGCAGATTTATTCACATCTGCTCAATTTATTAATGGGCTTAGAAGCAAATAAAGAATCAATTTTAAAAATCGTTCAATCAGTTGAAAGCCCTAGTAAAATAAAGCTGCCCGTGTACACTTTGCAGCATTTTAGCCACGAGACCCAGCCTGAAGTCCTAAAAAGCTTTGGCTTTCGTCTGGGCTGTTTGCCAATTCAGATACTTTCTGGTTTTCCATAGCCTGCGGCCTCTCTTGGAGGCTCAGATGTAAAGTAGTTCTCCAGACACAGAACCACAGGGCCTCCTCTGCTAAAAGGTGCGAAAGAACGTTGACTTAGCCTGTATCATGACATGGGGAGCCTCCTTCACGTCCCCACCCCTTCCAGCAAATTCCCAGGGTGGCTCACAAAATCTCAAAACAAATTTTAAAAGTAGAAAAATACAGAAAAGCAGCAGAACTGGTAGAAGCAATGTAAAACACAGAGAGCAATTGAAAATAAATCTAAAGGACCTGAGAAAATGCAAGGCGTTCTCGTGGCAATGCAGTGACATCAAAGCTGGCGCCAGGCGAACGTCCCTTTGGAGAGAGGGTCACACCTGGGGCAAGCCCACGGGGAAAGACCCTTCCCCAGGAACCCCCACAAACCTCTGAGGAAGACCTTAGTGCTCAGGAAGGCAAGTGGAGAGCGGTGATCCCTTAATGAACCACAGGAATGTGGCCACATTAACGAGCAATATTTAACAAGGAGGTCATGGAAAACAGTCCGTGGTGAGGTCAAGCCAGGATACAGTAGTACCTGGGACAAAGCACGAGAATGCCTTTCTAGCTGCCGTTCTGTCACCTCTAGTATGGCTGTGGAAGTAAAGGATGCTCACAAGAGGAGAGATCCCTAGCTTTCAGGGCCTCTTCATTGTAACTGTGTACCTTGGAGGGCCTCAAGTCAAAGAACATAGAAATACAGTCGACTCCATTGACTTAGCTCAGGGCCATTTGAATATATGCGTTCGGCATAGTGAGGGGAGGGCCTGCATGGCTGATGTGCATGAAAAAAGAGGGGCCGAGGAGGATGTGACGTGTGCACGGACAAAGGCCCACCCTGAAACGAAGCCTGGATTTTGCAGGGACCCTGCAGGCCCACCTCCCTCTGGGAGTTCCCCCTTCCTGAATCCTGGCCCCATGAAGGGGCAGGGCCCTCCAGCCCACCTGCAGCTTGACGCAGGCAAAGCAGCCACTTTCAGATCTGTCAGGTACAACTCATTTTTTTATTTTTTGTGTGTGCTTACTCTGGTGCCAATGTAGCGGGGCTGACCTAGTTCTTTGCATCCCGCACACACTCTTCCTGTGCTGGGTCCACCTCTGAATTGTGGGTCCGTAGCTACCCTAGAGTAGAAAGGAAAGCTACAGGAGATAGATGCAGTTTTTAAATTGTGCCCCCTTTGGCCCTTTATGCTGGATTCAGGCCTCGACTTTTACGGAGCTGAGCCTCAGGATCTGCTCCTCCGATTTAACACGCCCGGCGCTTAGACTGCCTGCTAGGACTGGGCTTGCACGGCACAGCGGCTCTTGGACGGGGTGGCCGTGATGTCCAGACCCAGAGCACTTTCCACAACAGGCCGCCCTCGTGACCCATGGCTTGTTCTGTGGATTGCTGAACCCACAGTGGGTTATCATGTCGTCCAAAGCCGCTGGAAACGGTGACTAGGCACTTGGCAAGGACGGCAGAAGCCCTCTGCGCTGGGCAAGCCTCCCCGTGCCGCCATCAGTATGGCCAGGAAGCACGCTGGAGCAAGGGGGAGGTGTTGGGGGCACACAGATGGGTAGAGTTGTGTTTGGATTTCTCCCCCAGTCCTCCAGGGGTGCAGCCCTTTGGCTGCCTGAAAGGTAGAGTCTTGCCTGGCCAATGCCCTGGGAACTGCCTGTGTTTTGCTGCTTTTTCCCAAATTTGAGCTTTTGTGAGAGGAGAGCAGGGAGAAATGTACAGCTCCATAATTTGTGCACATTTCCCCAAGAAGCACTCACACTGGCTACACAGCTTAAAAGAAAAGAGCCCTTTCTTTCCCCGGTGCTCATAGCAAGGGACCACAACATGCATCGTTGTTTTGCTTTGCTGCTGGAGTTTCTCGTCACTTGGGGAAGTGCGGAAAATGCGGAAGGCCCTGCAAACAGTCAGGGCAAGACTTTGTGCCCCCTTTCTTCCTTTTTAAGTAACAAACCAGTGATGGTTTCTCCAAAGTGCTGCTTCGGCATCATTGCAGCCCCTCCGGAGGGAAAAAATGTGAATGAAAACAAGATCGCAACTGCAGCCGTGAGAGGGAGAAAACGCAGCCTGCTGTACA